AATGCTTCTCCCTTTAATGAAAGCTGACTGGTTCTCACAAATAAGCTTGGGAAGGAGGGGTTGGAGTCTGTTTAAGATCACTTTACTAATCATTTTAGATAACACATTTGTGAGGTTAATGGGCCTGAAAAGATCCCAAGAGATAGCAGAAGAAGATTTGGGAATTAGAGTTATGTTGGAGCTTTTAAAATAGTTGGGAAGATCCAAACCTCTGAAGAAACCTTGGACAACCTTTATAATATCATCTTTAATGATCTTCCATGATTTCTTATAGAAATCAGTAGAAAATCCATCAGGATCAGCAACTTTGGAGCTATCAATGGAAGCCAGAGCAGACCAAATTTCCTCTTCCCCAAGGATAGATGTCAGATCCAGTCCCCTCATGAAGTTCTCATCCCTGTAAAATAAATCCTGTTGGATGGTGGGCCTAAGAGCAGAAGGTTGTTTAAAGAGTGTTTGGTAGTAGTTAACAGCCCTAGCAGCAATCAAGTCATCAGAATGGAGCCACTTGCCATCAGTCTCCTTAATCTTATGAATTGTGTTGCACTTTATTCTAAACTTGATACAGGCATGAAAACATTTTGAATTTCTATCCCCTTCACAAAATCTGGTCTTAGCAGCCTTTTGGGCAAAAAACTCCTCCTGTATACAGTTGACATTCATCAACTTTTCATTTGCTATCAATAGATCCTTCACCACATCAGGGGTTAATCTCTAATTCAGCTTCCAAAATAGCAACAGTCTTTTCAGCCTCCACTTCATTTAAGTTGATATCTCCCACTGATTTCCAATTCCAGTTAGATAAGTGTCTGCCTAACTTCTTTTGCAGTTGCCATAACTTAATCAGAGGGTTGGAATGGTGACAATCCCTACAAACCAATGAGACCTGATTAAGGAAGTCTTTGTGGGAAGACCACATGTTGAGGTATCTAAAACTTGGCTTGTGCTTGACATTTGATGCAGAAATTTTCATAAGCAGTGGTCTATGATCTGATCCTGTCATGCTGAGATGCTGCACAGAAGTGTGAATGAACTCACTAAGCCACATGGAATTCACAAAAATTCTGCCTAACCTTTCCCAAAGTTGACCTCTCCTCCAGGTTGAAGGTACATAAATATAGTTAAAGTTTCCACCAACCATCCAAAAAGAGTTACAAGAGCTACTAATAGCCTTAAGACTCTCCCAAAGCTCCTTTCTAGCACTAGGAGAGCACCCAGCATATACAGAAGTAGCCAGACCAGTCTGGCTCCCAACTTGAAGCTTGATATGGAGGAATTGTTGGTGATCCCACAGTATACTGCAAGACACCTCCTCCTATGTAACACCCAAATCTTGTTATTAAAATTAGAGACATAAAGAAAACCAGGGGATTTCATTATAGTTCTCTAAGAATTTTTAGAGACCATAGGCTACAGAATAGCCATCAACCAAAATTTATACATCCTATTCAAGTCCATCAGTCTGTTAAGGGATTTAGAATGTGCCAATCCCCTAGCATTCCAACATCAAAAGTTCATCATCCAATAGATACTAATTTTCCCCTTCTTCTGGCTTTAGCTATATCCTCTAGAGCTTCTTTATGAAATTTTCTATCCCTGAGAATGTAACTTCCCCCCTTTTCAGAATTTAAAACCTGGAAATTCTGTTTCTTTTTCTTTGCTTTCTGGACAAGCCATTCATCCTCCAGCATTGTTTGTAACCCCTTAATTAAGGTTGTGTCAATCTGTTGTTCCCGCAGGGCAGCCTCAGCCCCTAAATCCTGATTAGTATCCCCTCAATAGTATTCCAATCAGTGTTTTGTACTTCATTGATTGTCTGGTTGTAACCAGAAAGTTCAGCTTCTGAAATAGCATTGGCCTTGTCATGTACATCGTGTTGGTCCAGCTGGTCAACATTCTCATTCTCAACTTGGACGGGGATGATGCCCTGATGGCCATCATCCTCACTACCCTTGGTTATCACCTGATTCAAAGGATTGTCATAATCCTCTTTTCTCAAAAGCCCAACATCAACAGAGAAATGATCAACCTCCTTTGAAGTTCCCTCAGTAGTTCTTCGGAGATGGGGATGGCTTTTATAACATTTGTTATGAGTGTGCCCAAACATGCTGCAATGGAAACAGTAGTATGGCTTTTGTTCAGCAACTATCCTTTGCCAATATCCATTATGCCAAGTCCCCAACCAAATTTCCTCTACAACAGGAAGGGTGATATCCCTTTCCACTAATATTCTGGCTACTGAGGGCTAGAAAGGTTGTAAGTAGGGACATCCAACTTCAAAGGTTTCCCCAGAGCTTGGCCAATATTAAACAGAACTTTATGATTAAAGAAGTGAAGCTTTAACCCAGGGAGTTTGAACCAAATAAGATCTACAGGCAGCTCCTTGCTCGGGGCAAACTCAGTGAACCATTTCAAGATCTTCATAGTAATACCATCAATCTGTAAAATCTGTTTGGACAAAACTCTAGCATAATCATCTTCTCTTGACAGCTTAATAAGGATGTGCCTGCCATCAATGAGACCCACCCTCCAAGCACCTTTGAGTTTAATGTCATCAAAGAATTTTCTAATGACTTCCATTTTTTGGTTTCCCGTCTGGAACTTACCAATGAGAGAAAAGTTGCAAACCTCAGTCAGGTTCTGTATCTCTGAATCATTATAAATGATAGCCACCTTCCCATTTTTCCTACTCTGAGGTTTAATTAATGGGTCAGCCGCCTCATGGTAGCTCTGAGGGAAAACGGAGAAAACAAGGTCGTCAAAATCCTCAACAGTAGAAGCTCCTTTAACCACCACATCAGCAAAAGTGGCCTTAGCCCATTGGACATTGGTAGCTAAATCCATATTGTTAAGCTCAGCTATTGTTAAATCCATATTGTTAAGCTCAGGCATAACCAAACAAGAAACAATAGAATAGTAACCGATTCAAATAAAGGTTTCCCGGTAAGCAAAAAACCAGAAATCCAAACCAAGTAAAAGAACCAAAAGAGTGAGAAGCCACTAGATCCAAAAGAGAGAGAAGCCACTAGAAGAAGAGAAATAACTAGTTAGCAACCACAAAATAAGGAAATCCATGGAAACCCTAGCAGAGTAACCGCGAAGTCAGTCGCCACTCCAAGCTCCATTGCAAATATATATATATATATAACACCCATAGAAGTGGAAGCAAACTAAGGGGAAGGAGTAGATCTAGATCCCAACCCTCCACCTTTCCTCCCTCCAAATGATTAATATGCTGTGTTGGAATATAAGGGGGATTGCTCACCCCTTATCTTTAAGAAGATTAAAATATCTTAACAAAAATAAAAAATTTTGGTGCTTAGCCATTTTGGAACCTATGGTTCATATTAACACTAAGAATATAGCTAAAGTGTTTCCTGGCTTCAATCTTTTTACTAAGCTAAATAACAAAATTTGGGTTTTCTGCAGGAAAGAAATGAAGTGCTCTATCTTAGTTAGTCACTACTAAATTCTACATATGAACATCAGTATTGAAGGAATGGATGGATTTGCTTCTTTTGTTTATGCAGGAAGCTCCAAAATAACTAGAACTTAGCTGTGGGAGACCTTTCAGCACATTCAAAGCTCTATTGATAAAGCATGGATTGTGGCAGGAGACTTCAATTGTATTTCATCACCTGCTGAAAGGAGGGAGGGTAGAACGCCCAATCCTGTCACCATGTCCAATTTCAATGATAACATCCAAAATACAGGTTTATTTGATATGGGCAACAGTGGACCTACGTTCACATGGAAAAGGAAGAACTTGTGGGAAAGACTGGATAGAGACTTAGCCAATGATCACTGGATCCAAAATTTTTTGCAGACTACTATAACTCATTTAAGCCTTGCTGAATCTGATCACGGGCCTTTGGTCATCACCATTGGCCCAAAGAGTAGCTGTTAGAAGGGTGCTTTTAGATACCTGAATGTTTGGTCACAGCACAAGGATTTCTTGAAGTTGTTAAGGAGAACTGGAATAATGAGTCACACCCTGACCCATTCATCAACTTGTGGCAAAAGCGAAAAAAAGGTAGGTTCTGCCCTCAAAAGTGGAGTTGGAACACTTTTGGAGATTTGATGAAGGCTGTGGATAAGGCTGAAAA